ATTATAATAGAGAAAAGAATGAGTATTACAGGTAATAAGACATAATGACCCACGCCTGATGTTGTAAAATAATTAAAATAATTTTCTGTTTCGAGTCTTTTAAGATGAAATCTTTCGAAACTTTCCCGCCCCATCTAAACAATAATGCAGCCATTGATAAGACCGGCTGAGATAATTTTATAATACTTTATGATCATTATGACTTTCTGTATGTCTGTATATGATTTTTGTGCATTGATATATTAATATATCGTAAATAAATTTTTTAAAATAAGTTCTTGATAAATATTAAAAACTTGAATTCGAGTTTAAATTGTTATATTGATATATTGTATATACATTTCTAAAACATATATTTTTAATAAATATTCAAAATTTGAATTTCGGTTGTTTTGTCAAGCTATTTGAGATAAGAACTATTTAGTGTTGGGATACTTTTTGGAACTATTTGTTGAGCTATTTGACAGGGCATCGTGTAAAAGTTGTAAATATTCTTGTGTATTATTAGATAATAATTGTTTTACTCTTTTGTATCGGCTTTTTTTTTTTTTTTTTTTTTTTTTTTTTGGCAGGGGCTGTGTCGGGACTCTTATGGCTTGGGCTATGTTGACGGAATACTAGATAAAAATCTAAAGAAAGAAATTGCTAATATAAAACGACAGGGAGTTAAGAGAAATTTTTAATAACTCAACTGAACATATCTTATTATTAAGAAGCTATTAAGTATTTACCACTAGTGTGTACTTTCTTTAAAAATCCTTTGTTACTTTTTATGGTATCAACTGGTTCGGATGTTCTTAGCATGCTGAAAATGTATTCCTTTTATTTGAACAAGATTGGGCAATGAAATTTTAATTCATTTTACTTTATTTTATTTTAAACTAGCGGAAGTACCCGATGTCAGTTAAGTTAGATTGAGAGTAATGTATCTAAAAACGGAGAGAACAATACCGCTGCACGCCTTCTCTAATAACGATGCAAAAAATACGATTCATAGTCATACATTTTTCAGTCTGATGCGATATAGAACCCACATAAAACATTTCGATAGAAAAATAAACTAATTCTCTCTCATTACATCAGCAACAATGGCACGCAGTTTTTAATGATTTTCGTCTTTCTAATCAAATGGTCGTAAAAGCTCAAGTTCCATCCAATATTTCACCTATATTTAATTTTAGTCGATTAAATGTCGCAAAAAATTGATCATAATTCATCAGAAATCGATAATGCGAACAAACAAAGAGGCATTCTTATCAAACTCTACAATATGAAAGTAAGCAGTGGCAACACTTCTCGAAACAAAGCAGATTTTTATCTCTAGCGTGCGAGACTGTTGCCACTCGGAAAAACGAGGACGAAAATTAGCGTTTTCAGAGTTTTAATTAATATCTCTGATTATATCTTTTTAAAAAAAAATTTATTGAAAAAAGTGGACGTCGATCTTTTCCTGGAAACAGGAGAGAATTGTAGAAAGTTTGGTGACGATAGCTATAGAAGTGACTGAGTTAATCACGAACAAACACACAAACAGACATTCTTCTTTATTTATATAGATGACTGAAAAGTCACATCCATATTTCTTCACAACTTTCAAAATTTCACAATTAGCTGAGCAAAAAAGCTTCTACGATCACAACTTCATCAAATAGTTGATGCATGTTCATTGTACTATTCCTGACTATTTCCTTAATCTTTCCCACCTGAAGCTTCAATTTTAGGCCACGTTTTAATTCATTGAGATTTATCCAAATAAAAGACTCTACCCCACTAAAACTGTTTTCCAGTAGTTCAATGTAATAAAGACCTCTGTCAACATATGGGAGTAAAAAATCTATACAGCAATAAAAATAAGCAGATCTAGGTACAAAACGTTTAGACCGGCAACAGTGAGTGTAATAGAGTTATTTTAATTTCGAAATCGTCGTTTTACCCGAAGCTGCAGTATTTTTACTTCTTTGGCACTGTCAAAATTTTACCACATAGACGAGACAAAATGCTGAACTGGTTGGGAAGCAGGAACCACATTACAAAACTTGGATAATCCCGTCTGGTAAGTCTAATTAATCGAATTCAGAGAGTAAATTGTTAATAAAACTTCTTCCTGAATGAAATTGGAACTATTCAAACCCTACGTGAAACATTATACGTCCGTCTCTCGGCTCACCGTTCAAATTTCACGATTTATGCTTTTCCTGCTTTTCAAGTATGCGGACATATTTCAGCAAATCATTGTGCTATGTCAGAAAATTGTAACACAGGTATAGGAAAGCGCTGCAATGGATTCGACAAAAATTTCCTCGTGTGGGGTGTAAAATAAAGGTGATTTATGCCCAAACTATTCTACTTCGGGAAAATACCAAACCAAAGAACTTTTTCCCCTTGGGGGAAGATAATTTTTATTGTTTACTTCCTTCATCGGTGCTTTTCACTGTTCTAGAACAAAGATATCACCTGCCTTCCAAACCCAGGTTTCATCACGACTGCACGATTTGGGAGGGGGGTTACTCGCCGAACTTCTCAAAATATGGTTCTTCCCGCTTGCTAGCGTTAAGTACAACCCCGAGCAAGATGGGACTTTTAAATGAGAGAAACGGAAAATTATAGTCGTTTCTTAACCAATATGGGCTTTTGCGGGTTCAGCAACTATTTCTGACCCCGCGTTAGCAGCTGTGCAAAATTATGTCCCCATAAAGATTTTTTTAAAGGGGCAATTAGTTTCAAAGTGGCATTTTGCGTCGGTTCACTATAAACGGCAAATCAATTGTTTCATATCGCTGCCACTAAATATTATCGCCTAGCATTACTTTTAAAGAAACTGAATAATGAACAATCTGCAAGTATGTTTCTCGCATTGTGATAAAACAACTGTACCTAGAGCGATCAAATTTTAAATAACTTACGTTTCTACCCGAATATGGACATCTGGAAGCCCAAATTTGGAATTTGGACTTTGTTTTATTATCTGTTTCATATTTTGTAACACTTTAACGAATTTTTTATTAACAAACTCAACGATTTCAAAGAGAGTAATGGCTACACTATACGGGAAAAAAAAAAAAAATTATCTCCAGTGCACGAGACTGTGTCTTGGAAATTCTAAAGATATGCTCATTTGAAAAACTTTTTGCGATATTGCTGTTGAACTGAATTTTTTAAGTGCGAAGAACAGGATATTTTATAAATAAAGGTAACACACAAAACGATAAAAACCTTGGGCGTAATGCCAAATCTCAAACCTTTCAGATTTTTTTAATTATTTTTTCTATCCTGGAAATAAATATTTCTTAAAGTTTATATTATTCAAGGGGTTGCCCCAGCAAAAAAAAAAAAAAAAGTGTAAGAACCCTTGTTATAGACAATGATGATGAAATACATAATCGTGGCCGGTTGAAACACTTCTTTATATTCTTGATATAACATTCTTAAAGATTCTTTGTATTCCTTTCATTACTATATCTAAATTTTATTTTTAAATTTCAACTGTGATTAAGCCATCAGGACAAGTTCCTGAGCTACTGAGGTAAAAGTGTTTAAGTAGTTTCTAGGCAAACATTAAACTGAAAAATAAAAATTTATAAGCAGTTTTATACTAATATTTCTAATAACTGTCGTTAAGGTTGTGTTCAAACAATAATCATTGATCCTTTGATAGAATCACAACATATAGAAAACATAAATCTGTCCTTTGATAGAAAACAATTTTGTGCTCAAAGTGATCCAAAGTAAGTATGAATTTGCAGATTGGCCCTTTTCATTTCAATGCACATGTCACACTTTAATACACAGACGAAACTTAAGAATCACTTTCTTTTGCTTACATCTTTATCTCTCTTTGACGCATACAGAGAAATAGATAGATTTGTATGTAAATAATTATAAGCTTCTTTCTTTCGTTTTTCGATTTTGGTAAAATGTTAAAATAATATCTAGAAACAATCTTAATCACAAATTATAGATATTCATCGATCAATCGGGTTATTTTTTTAGATTTATAAATTTTCATTAGCAGAAAATAACACCTCTTCACATACAAATATACCAAGAAGTACTTATTGCAAGAATTCGTAACTGAAAGTAGACGAGGGTTGACAAGCACGAAAAAAGTTAATCATATCTGTACCTTCAAATCTTTAAATACCATTTATATCACACTGCTGTAAATTAATTAACTCCAAAATAATCTACTCAAACTGGCACAAGACTGCAAACTGCATGTATTTTAAACGTCGGTTAGCAAATCGGAAATAAACTAAGCAGAGCTAGCGATATTAAGTAACAGCAAGACGAGATTGCTAGAGGCTTTAAACACTCAAAACCCTCAGCTTAAATACACAAACAATTAATTTACATCCTGGAGAAGGACTACGAAAAGAAGAAATTATCGTAAAGGTCAGATCATATTAATTAGTTAATAAACATAAAATATCTTATAACCTTGTAACATAAAATACCTAGTTAACGAGTTGTTGTGATTCAAGTCTTTACCTCAACTTCGTCTTTCCGTATTCCTCACCAGAATGGAAATAATCTTTGCGTGTATTGAAGCTGAAGGTTTTGAATCATTAGATTAAAGCTGGCAATCTCGTCTTGCTGTTAAAATTTCCGGCTTTAGCATTCTCGCTAGCCGATATATCATATATGCGTCGGTAAAATATCTGAGCTAGACTATTTTAGTGTATTTAATGGGTAGTCTCCGAACGTTACCCGCATTTGAATTTAATTTCTGTTCCATATGTAAGGGAAGTTTCATCTACTGAAGTCTTCGGAAGTTGTGTTGTTCTTTTATATTAAAGCAACATTTTTAAATAAAGGTATTTTAACCTTCTGCTGTATTTTTTGAGTCATTTAAGACGTAGCGATAATCAGTCTAGTAGTGTCTTCAGGATTTTAACCCTAGTTTCCAGATACAATAGCAACTCTACAAATTAACATAAAATACCTCAGCATCTATAAAGTTGTATTTATAAAAATCTCTATAATTTTATTTTGCAGATGAACATCTAGACATGAAGATGCAAGAAATGAAGCCGTTCTGCAAATCAAGCAGCATCGAGAGATCTGCAGCTCTGCAAGAAGTCCCCGAACGTCCACCGGATGCTCACTACAACAGCAAAAAGCTCCTAATTGCCAGCACGCAGTTTCTTCCCGGCTTGGTGATGCATCCATCAACTATGCATACGTTCCCTCAACCCGTGTTCTCCAGGACTCACTTGCCGCTGTCTCCTTTGCCTATCCTTCCGGCTTACACAATGGCCGGATGCGTCCAGCAATTTGGAAATTACCCTTTCGTTCTGCCGGACGGATCCAGCATGTCGTGCAAGACAGCTACAACGAGCGAAGCTGTGCAAGAAAGGTTATCGCCAAAGGCAAGCAGGCTGGGGTCTTCGAAGACCGTCATGGGTCATTCGGAGAAAGCATGTCCCTCACAATCAACAACAACATCTTGCAGCTTAGAGCCAGCGAACAAGTCCAGAACAACAAAAGCGAAGTTTGATTTCGCAAAACTCGCCGAATCGGCCACCTCCAAGGACGATCCACCGCCAGCTCACAGTCAGTGTCTATCAGACACCAAAATGGACCCCTTCAGCTGCACCACAACGGCGACCACCAAAGCATCCGTAGCCCTTATAACCAGTCATACTTATCCTTTCATATCGCCTTACTATACGCTTGGGGCAATGGGTCTCGCGACGGACTATTTTGAGCGTAAGCTGGCAAGGGGTAGGGGATCCTCTAGACCCAAAAAGGAATTTATCTGCAAATACTGCCAAAGGAGATTTACTAAGTCTTATAATTTATTGATCCATGAGCGGACGCATACTGACGAAAGACCTTATACCTGTGACATATGCCATAAGGCTTTCAGGAGACAAGATCACTTGAGGGATCACAGGTAAGCTAGTTTAATTCATACAGATGTCATATTAATGTAGAGAAATACCTAATTGTAGAGACATTAGGTTTTTTTTTTTTTTTTTTTTTTTTTTTTTTTTTTTTGAAGGAGGCAAAATGAAATATTAGCAAATGCCTTCGCCGAGAATACCTTATAAGTTTACCGTTATTTTTCTATCTCTCTCTCTCTCTCTCACATTTTTTTTTTTTTTTTTTCAAATTATTTTTATCTTACGAAAATCGAGAGGAGAAAAATATGCCAGTCATTTAATTTCGGAAGAAAGCGGTTACAGTAAGAACATAACAAATGAAACACAGTCATGGATAAACTACTGCTAAATATCACACTATTATTTTTTAAAGGAACCTATATTCCAATAAAGATATGTAATATATAATTTATATATGGTAAATAAGAATATATAATATTAACATTACAGTATATGATGGTAACGGAGCCGCATTGATTACTTTGTAAAGCCCCAGGAGCATCTCACATGAATGAGTTTTGACGACAGTTCCCAAGAGGGACATCGGAGGAACGAAGGAGAAGGGAGGCGAACATAAGACCCGGAAAGATCGAACACATCGGCAGTAAATAAGGTTACAGTGAGCTGGCACGTAAATAACAGAAGTAAAGGGCAATCACATGTTTGGAAAGTTTCTTAACTAGGAGAACACCTGCCATATACGGGTAGCTTAACAAAAAAACTGCACAAAATACGTTTCAAATATTAAATACAAAGAAAAATAAAATGGATAAAATGCTAATAAAAATAAAAATAAAAAAATAAAAAAAATAAAAAAAAAAAAATAAAAAAAAACAAGCGAACTGAATTCACTAAATAAAAATAGAAGCAATCCAGGGAATATAATTTACCAATAAATAAGCCCTCAGAGGGGAAAATTATCTACAACAGAGAATGGGGAAAATGATGCGAATATTTTTAAAGTTTCCATAACCTACGGCTAAAAAGCTAGGGGTGGGAAATATTATGGATTTTCCCTGACAAAAACATTTTACAGAGATTGATAGAGCTCTATAAAAGTTCCTATGAAACTTTATAAGTAATCAATAACTTTATAGAATTTCTAAATTTAATAATAAATTTTGTAAATTCATGAGAGTCTTTCAGTAAACAGAATTCTATAAAAATGCTTTGCAAAATTCTAGCTACAGAGGTCTGCAATGTTTTCAATAACATTATATAACAAGCAATATTAACATTAAAATATCTGACGGACAATGCACCTATATCTATCGGTAATTGAATCGGACACAATTACTTTGTTAAACCTCAAGGGCACCTCGTATGAATAAGTCTTAACCGCAGTTTCCAAGAGAGACATTAGAGGTAAAAAGGAGGAGACGAACGAAACACTCTGATTTTGAAAGATCAAACACATCAGGCTGCGGATAAAGCTACAATGCGCTGAAACGAAATAATTGAAGTAAGGTGAAATCACATGTTTGGAAAGTTACGCAATGTTTTCACAACAAATCACATGTTTGGAAAGTTATAGTTAAATAAAGATGTCACAAGAAATCACATGTTTAGAAAATAAGAGTTTTCTTAAGCGGAAGAACGCCTGCCACATTCCGGTAGCTTTATAAGGTACTAGGAGTAGGCGCAGCCCGACCTACCTAACCAAACAAATTGGTCTAATAGTCATGACAGACCACACAGCTTTATAAGGTATTTTCTCCTTTTTTCCAGCATGCCTTCGTGGTGTAACGGTAGCATACTCGGCGCGTATTCGAGGGATCCAGGTTCGAGTCCCGGCGAGGATATTGCTCATTTTTCATGTCTCTCGCTTCAAAATAGCCTAATGATCGCACAGTTTGGCGAAGAATTTTCATAAAGTGCATTTGAAATACTAATAAATACAAAGAAAAATAAAATGGAAGAAATGCTATTACGAATTGAATAAAAATGAAAATGATCGAGGGAAATGAATTTACCAATAAACTAGCCCTACGAGGAAAAATCTATGTACAATAATGGAAAAGGAAAATGAAGCGATTGTATTTTAAAGTGTCATAAATCTAGTGCTAAAAAGCTAGAGGGAAATGCGGTAATTGTTTAATAATTTTTAATGCAAATCGCTAAGTAATTAAAGTGTTTAGAGAACAAACATTTGTTACAAACATTTGTTGACAAACATTTTTACTGAGAAGACACAATATTTCAGAAATGCAGGAGTTCGGCGCACACAGTAGTAGTGATGAAATATCTCTCGACTTTAAATTTCTCATAGCTACAATATAATTATATAACATAATATGCATGCACATTTTTCCTTATAATTAAATGAAGCAAAGTCCCCCCCCCCATTCTCAACATTAAAATGATTCCGTGGCGGTACTCTGCTTACAACTCAAAATACTTATTCACGAAAGTTTTATACGAGCGTTTATACGTTTTATACAAACAGAGGCTATGGATGTAAAGCGTAGTACCCCGTGATTGAACGAGGATAATGGAATAGAAAATAATTCACTGTATGGTGGAATCAGTTGTTTCTTGGAATGCAAAATTAACACTTTAAATGACATGAAAAACGACCAGTACTTATTCGGCATGGTATTCGAAAGGTCCGAATCACCCTGTGTTCTTCTGCAGAGAGACTGCAGAACATGACCTTAGACGGCCGCTAGCGGAACATATAGGCGCGTAGTCTGAAGTTACTTTAAAAAATCACTAAGCTTTGAAAGCAAACGCGAGTGTTTCAGGATCGCACGTTGTATTTCAAACAGGCTGGAGTAACTTGCAGCTGGCCATCCTCGTCGCCAGAACAGCCCCTAAATATTCTGTATTTGCTTTTGGTGCATTTTATTTAAATTAAAGTTTTCTGTACTTTTCTATTTATTTTTACTTCTTTTTGTTTTCTTTCCTTTCTTTGTCTGGGCTTTTTGTTTGTTCGTTTTCTTAATGTGTGTGTGTGTTTAATAACAGTTCTTTTAATTACTCATTTTAAGTTGGCTGTCTTCCCTTTCTGTTTTGATTTCTTTATAATAATTTTTCTGGAGTGCGTCTTTCCAGATAATTCGATCATGCTCGCTTATGTAATGTACATTGCGGATGACTCTCGTCTAATAGCAGCGTTAAAATTTAAACAAAGGAACCAAGGTCTGTTACCTATTGCGCAAATCTTGTTTTCCCTGCTTCGCCTTGCTGGTAGCCAAGCGGAGTTTACTTTCGCTTCGCCCGTTGCGTAAGAAGCTATAAGCTGTACAAAACTATCTGGTGCATCCGGCACCCATAAATAATGATGTGCGAATTTGTTTATCCGTATCAAGGTTTGCTCTCTTACTAAAATAAAATTATTCTGCATATCAATGACCACATCTGAAAGTTTTTCTTCTCCGTTCTCTCATCTTAAGCATCCATTCGGTTGTTTTTCTAATCTCACTATATCTACACAGAATTATAGCATATAGATATGTTAATTATCTTTAAATCAATACCATTCACTCTAATTTAACCCCGAATAATTGTGTTTATTTCGTTATTGTTTATTTTAACTTTTTGTATCAGTAACTCTGTTAATTGTTTATTGTCACACTTAATGTATTATACTGAGAATTACCAAGCAGAGTTGGGAACTGTACTCGGGTGCTTTGCAGTGAAGATGTTTCCACCGTTATTGCCCGATAGTGTGAAGGCTGTGTCGCTGAACGTGTCAGCGTGTTTATAACAGTTCGACGACTGTAAAAGTGATTTTGGAGCTATCTGATTAATATTGGTAAATAAAGAGTGTTTCGATACTTCATCAAGTGTCGTCGTTATTCACTCCAAATCTACGAACCCCGTACGAACGTGAAGGAAGAAAATAACGTAACAATAGCATCCGCTAAGTCTATTAGGTTCAGTATTCCGCCTTACTTTCTTTGGGAACATTCAAGAACCTGACTCGGAACAGGGAGCTTACTAAAGCTATGTTCAATAAATGTGGGAAGTAGACAAGATACACAGGAAGGGTATACGAAACCCTTTATTTTTCACTCTTTACAATGATTTCCGGACTTCGGAATACAGAGACCAACCACTTGTGGTCTGAACGTAAGAATATAAAAATATTAACTAAACTCTAACTTAACTTTGGAATAACAAACAAGGGCCTCCGAGAAGATTGACCGTATATTAACAGGAAGCCGTATGTAGTACAGAGAACTGTTAACACTACAATACGTTTAAAATTATCAAGAGGATTAAACCTCTGGCCTGGAAGGCAACCAGCAACCGAATAAAAACTGCTAAGGCAAGCGGCCTGCTTCTACTAACTCCTTCCTCTCTCTTGCTTGGCAAAAAGCCACAACTTAAGTACTTGGCGTTCGCCAGACAAATTTGCATAAATAAGTTAAAGCTTTTAATTCTGGCCGGAAGTAGAAAATAAGAAGTGATAGTAAAGATTTAAAATAAAATAAACGTTAGTAAAACTTAAGATCCTTACAAGTCAAGACTCCTCAAAAGACGTAAGTGATTTATTGCTATGTCTCGTTAATTATACAGAAACGTAAGAAGGATGTAAAAGACCCTTTAATTCAAAACTCAAATAATTGAACAGAAGCCACTTCTTGTGCTTACAAAATCAGCCAGCATTTAGGGTGTAACTCAAAAGATAGAATTTTAAAATTAAGCTAAGTCGTAATTTAGACAAAGGCTACACAGAAATAATTGGCTGGATCCTACACCGTCGTGACAAGCACTATTGGCAACAATAAAGCAACGCCAAAGGCAGACTGTTACCGTAGAATTTCAACTATTAACGTGGCGGAACACTCTCTGACTGAACAAACTAAATCTCCTTTTAAATACTATCTCTTTCCATCTCAGTTAAATTCGCTAGAACTAAAATTTGTATTCTGGCAGAACGGAAAGGGAGAATTTAACTCGTTAATTAAAATAAATAAATACTTTACAAACTTAACTGAAGATCCTACTGATGAGATGTAGCAAAAGAAGAGTGGAAACCTTCATAAGCGGTTAATAAAATAAA